CTCCCTGTTTCCCCAGTGATAGTTGCTGTGGTGGACATTTTTAGTAGCGAAGCGTGCCAAATCTTTTGCTGTCCCTGTAGGGCGACTCAGCAAGGCAGACAAAGAGCTCATAATTGTGGCTACGAGTGCTGTGAATAGATGTCCCTACTGTGTGGTTGCACATGGAGCACTTCATCGGATATATTCCAAGCAGCCGGCGCTGGCTGACCAGGTCAGTGGGATTACAACAGCGTACACCCCACCTCCTTCGCATGGTCTTTTGGGAGGTGGGAATGGCCCTCTTGTGTCTGCCTTTTCGCCTGAAGTTTTGATCCTTGAGTCTATGTGGTTCCCAGCAATCTTGACACATCTTAGACACATCTGCCTAACTCAGTACCAGGCTTAGTAGGTTTATTGGTGAGCAGTCACACCAGTTGCCAGTGGGGGTGGGACCTCGAGGTGAGGGTCTGTGTATCCTCATACACCTTCCAAGCAAGATGCGGGGAGGGATGGTTCACCTGCAGAGCATTTGTTCTGCTGCCCCCCTTCTTTGCTGTTTTAATCTCATCTGCGGAGGAACTTGCTACCAATGGGAAGCTGCAGCATCCTGGCGGCGTTGCGTCCCGTTTCAAGAACTCCTCCATCCATAGCCTGCTCAGCAAAACTGCCACAGTCCCCGAGATGAGAAGGGCAGTTAAACAAATGAGTCTTTTGTCTGATGGTAGCCAGGACGTCTGGTTCAGGTGCTGAGTAAGAGCCTGTGTACTGCCATCTCTTTGGTTCACGGAGCGAAGAAGTTGGTCAGCCAGTTAAGACTCTTTGCTGGGTTCACCCGCGCGACCTCTGGTTTCTGCTTTCTCACAGGTCATTGTGAACTGGAAACTGGCTGACCTGAGCGACCGGGACCTGGCAATGCTGGAGTTTGCTCTTGCAGTCTGTCGAGCTGACAACATCACTGAAGAGCATTTCCAGAAGCTGGAGAGGCATGGTTTTGACCGTGAAGACGCCTGGGACATAGGCATGATTTCTGCTTTTTTTGCCATGTCTAATCGCATAGCTCATTATATTAACCTGCGCCCAAACAAGGAATTCTACACGATGGGCAGGACGCCGGGTGGAGAGAAGGAGGAGGAAGCTTGAGCGTGCCCGACACAGCTCTCTGACGCCTAGGCGTCCGAAAAATTCATCAAGCTCTTAATTCTCAAGCTAGCGTGGCTTATTTCTGAGCGTGTCAAAGGGTTTAAAAGTTAGCGCCGGGTCGTAGCCGAGAGTGACGGTGGGCTTCCCTTTTCGGAAGTCTGGTGGGACACGCTTGACTCCGGTGGCCCAGCGGGGAGATCGGACCTTTGGTCTCGGCACCGTCCTTGCAGGCCAACAAGCGCCCTGGGTCGCGATGGGACTTCTAAACCGTTCCGCCACGCTTTTTTTTTTTTTTTACCGGCTCCGCTGCTCTGAGATCTAATACGCGTCGTTACGGCCAGGTGTCCCGTACGGACCCTTCAACGGTTGGCGATTTACCGGGGCTTTGCCGTTCCTCTGGGACACCGGAGAGGGCGAAGGGAACGGCTCTCCCCGGCCCCCCTACGCCCCTACACACACACACACACA